CATCTGATAGCAACAGACTGGAAACTCTTTATTCTTTACAAAAGCCAATTAGAGCCATGGGGTGTGAATAGATAACTTTCACGGCCAGGCTTCAACAATGACTCCAAATGCAATGATATTTTATTTTCAAGCCATCAGACAACTAGAATGAAAGTATACTCAACGTCATCGTCAATGCAAATCCATCGAGATCCAAAAGGTTCCTTGCTTTACCAATGGAATTTAAGAAGAAATAGGCCAATCAAGTCTCCAAGGTGCATGCGAATTTTAGCAGAAACCAATGATTTGATCTACCTTCCTTGTCTTACAAAAGCGCCCAAAATTTCACCAATAGTATTGTATTTACACAAAGAAACTAAATCCAAATTATATACACAAAATTTCAGTATGAGCAGTTAGTAAAAAATCACTGTTTCCATTCGCACACTGCAAAATGGACAAAACTGGCCGTTAATCTCCTTTCGCCACTGAGAAGGACGATCTGGAAAAAAAAGACATTTGACAAAACGGAATCATTTAGCAAAAGATTATTCTAACTCAGAAAATAATACAAAACAGACGTTGTTTATATATTGCAGTGAGGATATCAATTGCTCACACAATTGGAACAAATAGCCAACCCAGACACAGTTCCCCTAATGTACCAATCGAGAATAGCAACGACGCTAATTTCAACCCTTACAAGCAATTTGGGAGAAGTTGAAAAAAGTAAATTCTGAATTGCATAAGACAACTCGTACTCTTCAAAATCCCACATTGAAGGTCTCACATACGCCAATTCAATTAAAGACAAAAAACAATTTAGTTCAGTAAATTTCGATTCACGATGAAAAATCGTTGATAACTCGCGACCTCCCAACTCCTCTACTGCCAGAGCATGGACTTTTTGCATGTTAAATGGCATTAAGTTAAGAGCGGTTGGAATACAAAGGAGGCTATAAGTAACCCCCGATAAACAAACATCAACCAAATAGCAAATCAACAGCATCAACCGAAGCAATAAATTATGGTAATGTGTGGTCACTTAGATTCCTACCTATCCACTTGCAAAACGGCATGCTTTCTGAGTTTTATACACGTTAAAGCACACCTATTCTACTACTTTCAAGGAAGCTCTCCTTGTCCTATTCACTCATTTCGCTTGTTCACCTCCGTTGCGTGGGGTTGAAGGAAGTTATCAAGAGACAAAACGACTCAAAGAAAGCAAAATCTTACTTGGAAGGAGTGAAGTATAGATTTTACAGGACGGACACTTATGGTAAGCAGGATCAATAATTGGCAAGAAGGTCGAACCACATCTCTCTAAAATAGACATAAAAAATAGTAAATGAAACGTCGTTTTACAGGTAAACTAAATGAAGACCAACTGACCGAAGTGGTGACGATCAGGACAACTCAGCATAAGAAGATCCGGTCTCACTTGTGTTATCACAAAATAAATTGAGTTAAGGAACAAAACTACTTAAATACGTATGATAAAATTAGCAAAGATGAAAGAAAAAAGGATATCTGTTTCACAAATTGGACACATCAAGAGCACATCGGGTCTAATGCCCCTGGTATCGACTTTGAAGCGTTTAGTGAGAAGCTGCTCTGCGATCTTGATGACTGTTCCAGTAGCCCGTTGAAGTATCTCA